TGTTTGGAGCCAGTAGTTGGATTCAGTGATTTATATGGTACCCTCCCAACTTGAGATAGTCTATTTCCTGTTCTATCTGTCAGTGCTCCTAAGCTAGATTCTCTGTGTTGCAGGTGTATCTGCACTCTACTTCTAGCTATAATTAGTATTTAAACTCTGCTTTTGTTTTTCTTATAGTGCCTCTTAGGACACTTTCCAAATGATTTTTCAACTGTGAACTCACCACTTCTCACTTGATTTTTGTTTTTTTATTTTTTTCCCCTGGAAAGCTGTAATGCTCTTTATCCCTACCATTACAGTGAAAGAATGAACAATATCCTTTTCTGTTTTGATATCCTTCCTGGCAAAACACACTGCTTCTTTCTTGTCACAAATTTCAGAGTGACAGCCCTTCCTTCTGGAACTGTAGAAACAACAGGACCATTTGTTTGCCATCTTCAGCTGTCACTGAAACATGATTTTTCCCCTCTCTATTTGGACACTCATCTGCTTCTTGCCCTCTAGGTTGTGTCTAGACACTCATCCCCATGCTCCCTTCTACAAAACCAGCTCTTTACTCTCAATGCTAAGGTGCTGACCCTGGCAAAGCAGCCAGATACTTAGAATATATCCATCCCTGTTGCTGTCTGCTTGGAAATGTGCTTGGTTTCAGATTTTTGGAAGAGATCAGGAATGGATTGCATCTGGTTTGCTTGCTTTGCTTTCTGCAGAATGGCTTTCTTTCTGAACATTGTTGTATTTGTTGCAAACCTTCCTCGCTTCTAATTCTACAACTAATGAGCAGAGTTGCTTCCTTTGTAAAGCAATGTAAATATTTGTTCTCCATTAATATTTTGAATAAAATAGATGGATTTTAGCAATGTATTATTTCAATTTATAAATTTAAAAATAAGGCTGTCTACATGAAAATATCATTGATCATTTTTATGAACAATATATTTTTAACACTGGTTATAATTTCTCAGCAGAAAACACTAGCAATAGAAAGGAAATAGGGAGAAACAGAAGATCAAAAGACAAACAGATTTCAGATCCTGTTATAACAGTCTTCTATGTTCACTGCTCTCTTTCCCCTCTTCCCAGTCGGGCAGAGTTCTGCTAGTATCTTTTATATGTTGTCACAAATAGTTGTTCATCAGCTGAGTTTGAAATCTTTGAGTTTAGGTTCTGTATTTTAACATCTGGTTGTTGAAATGTGGCCAGGGAGGAACAAGGATGTGTAGTTTCTCAACACCTTTTTTTTTCCAAACTCATGGAAGCTACTTACTAGTCTAAGATTAAAGAAATATGGATGTACTTTAATTTCCAATGTACTGTTTATCTCATAAGCAGATTAGAAATGTTGTGAGGCATTATTCTCAGACTCTCTACCTAGGCAGTATATAAAGAAATAGCTGTTTTTGTATATATATATTAGTATGCTTTTCACCAAAGAACCCATATTTTAGCAATTAATCCTGCTACAATCTATTTCAGAGGTTTTCCTCTGCTGCAGCAATGAGAGATTCCTAGCCTGCTTTCTTTAATGAAGGATGCATTTATGAAATAGGCTGTAATAGGATCTTTTGTAGGGAATTCTGAATGGTTTGAGCCAAAAGCTTAGCAAATGACAAGATGTTGAACATCTTGAATATTTAAATTCTAATTAAAAAGGAATGACCATAATCTCCCCATTTCCTTTTTAACAAACAAGAAACTACACAAATCACAAACATACATAATATATATTTATTTGGAGAATTCTGAAGGAATTTGTGTATGATATCATAGGTGTCACCTGATAGGTGTCATAGGTATACCATAGCTTGGTCTTCACACTCTTTAATTTCCTTGGGCCTCTGGCAGTGAGTGCACCTCCAATGTACCCGTGCTATCGGAAGGCTGAAATTTTCATGATCTCTTTCAGCTGTTCCTTGTAGGATATTGGAGGGGTTCTTTAGGGCAACTCTGTAAATGTGGCTCAAAATTTGAAACATAAGTTTTTTTCCTCCTCTCAGTGTGTCTGGTTTTAGAGTACTGCTTCATGGGACATGGCACAGCTCTAAACAGAAGATATTTATAGACTTTTAAACTTGCCTACCTCTAGATGCAGTTATGTTTCTAAATGTTTCAGGCTTCTAGAGTGAAGAGCCATTGACTTTTGCACGGGATGCTGAATGGACTAGCACTCTTCTGGCTAAAGATAAACTCTGAGCATCCTAAATTTAGTCAATCTCTTTTAAAAACCTTGGCACAGATACATGAACCCAGAAGAATGAGTTAGAATCATTCATTTGAAGTTCCCTGGCTATTTCAGCACCTCCAACTTAATATTTATTCATACAAATTGCTCACTGTTGCAGGTAACTCACAAAACGTAGCCAATGCAATAACTCTGCACCTGAGCATTATTTAGTTCTGCTTTGCTAATTTTGGCAGCACTTTGTTTTTCCTCTGTACATTACCACACTGGGCTGTTTTGGCTATGTCTGAAGAACATGTTAGAGGGGGGAATAAGGAGAAAATCTACAAGTTTTGTTAAGATTAGCTTTCATAGCAGCTACAATTCTTCACTTAAGGGGTCAGTTTAATTTTCTTGCCAATTTAAAAGAAATGCTAAGTAGGCAATTAACAGAAGGAGACAATTTTTTTTTCACTGCATACTGAAGAGAGGATTATCTTGTCTCTAGCAGTTCTCATCTATTTTGACACCAGGGATAGTTACATTCCCCATCATGCTGTTTATGATGCTGATGAGAAATAATGTGTCCTGTCTGTGATGATTTTTCTCCTTTTGACTTTTTGATTTTTTTCTTTAAGGATTTTTGTCTTTTTAAAGGAGTACTTCACCTTGTGGACATGAGAAATGGATTGAGATCCATGTATTGTCCACTGTTTTTTCTCTTGTTTATGTAGATTGAATAACAGGTTTTAAAACACTGTTACTTAAGTAATTTACGTGTATTTTTTTAACACAATATTAATGAAGAGTGACATTAAAAATGTTGATGTTGGCTACTTAGCCAGCTTTTGTTTTGTTTTCTTGCTAGGATCAGGTATTCCCTTTGTCTATATTAAGGACAGATAACTTGTCATTGCATTTCAGCCTTGGAAATCATGGGTGTTTATGCTCAACCAGTCATCTGGAGTCATTGTCATAAAAGAAGGTGCATCATCCCTGCCTCTGATGCAAAATATCTGAGAGGCTTATTATGCAAATGTGTTTGGAGAGTAGGGTGGTTGATGCTGTTCCTTCCCAGCCCAGCCACGGTCTATAGAGCCTCTCACTATCAGTGCAGTTGTTTTTGAAGCCACAAAGAGCAATCATGGCGCCGAAATTATCCAGGTTAAAAAGCAGTTACTTAAAAGGATTTTGTTCATTTGTGTTTGTCTTTTTTAACTAGGTACATTACAGTGATTCATAGGGCAATTTATAACATGGTGTAAGAATGTCTGCCCAATAAATAGGATCGTATTGGCATAGAAGAAGAAATGCAGTGACATAAACTGGTTTTCTGTAATGAACTGCCTCCTGAAATACAAATGTGTACTGGGACTCATTTTATTAGGTGAGCTGAATCCACGCTCGTTGTTTAACTATGTGTTAAGCAGGACATTAGCAATATCATAATCACTGTAGTGTACACCTCTTGATCCTTGATATAGTTTTATGAGACTACAGAATAACTTACCTCTGTTAAACAAAGGGGGCAATTAGAAACTTTCATGTACATTACCAAATCTTTCCTCCAAGATCCTCATTACTGGTAGAGACAATTGTGCTGGTGATCTTTTCTGGTTTTACCTTTGTAGTGAACCACGAGGGCTATCTGTTGGCTGATAAATATCCTGTGTGACGAGATGAACTCTTTCTCTTCATAGTATGAAATCATTATCTAAGTCCATACCAGGAAGCTGGAAAAACTGTCCATGCAAATCATAACTATCTCTTGGGTCTTGCTTAAATGTGAAGAGAGGATGACTCATATGAGTGTCTCAGAGTGGTGGTTTTAATTAAATAGGTTAACTAAAGTTAAATGAACAGAGTTGTAATAAGGCAGAAGTAATATATCTGGGAGACGTGTTTAGAAGAAAGCAAGCCTATGGGATTATTATGTACAGGTCTCTCTGAAAGTAATGTGTGAAAGTAATTGCTTATTTCTCTCCATGAGAAACAACAATAGCTACAATACCTATGAAGAGCACTTTTTGATAGATCAAATTCTCAGCTACAATGCAGTCTTTTTCAACACGGTCACAACCTTTAGCTATGTGTTTTTCCAGTGATGAACAAGAGCTTGCATGCTACACTTGCATAAATCTGCACCAGTGGGGGTGAGCCACTGTTGCTTCAGTTGAAATGCACCACCCACCACCTCTCTCTGCTCACATCTGCTGTTTGGTCTCCATAAATGTTCAGCAAACATCAGAATGTCAGTGGGTACCACTTTTCTGCATAGAGGAATTCAGTGGCACTCCTTCATACACCCTTCCGTGTCAAACACCGTTCTTTCGGGCTGCCCCTCTGCTGCTATCTGTCATATGGCAACCAGAAGTAATGGAATACTAGTAGGAAGTTTCAACCTCTACTGCCATACCACCAATATCCGCCTCTGATGTCATGGCCAAAGGAATAAAATAGGAGGCATTACTTTCAAAGCAGCTCTCATAAATACAAGCACACCACATATGTCCTGAGCAATTATTCATTACAGGATCCCTTAACACGCTGACATACCACCATGTTGCAATATGCCTTCAGGCTACATTTATAGATTATCTTAATGGTACACGGGACTTTGGGTGCAGTAGTCAGAGAAATGTGGCTGCAACTGATAAAGTACCTCTCAATCATGTAGCAACGGAAGAATTGGAAAGTACTGTGCTGAAACAATGCCAGTGGAAAATAAAGTATTCAGAATAAGATGTGACAGTATCTTACATTGTAAATTCTCTTTGGAATATACTTCATGTTTTATTTATTTTTATTATTTCTTTTTCTTTTTTTTTTTTTTTTTTAGGCTGTGGAAACCAACCTTGCATCAAAAGATAGTCACTGGGTCTATGTAAACGAGGTAAGAAAGTGAAGAGACAACCTAGCTTCGTATGCTTACTCATCACCATCCTTTGTTTTCTGTATTTGGGTACATCAGACTGAGCATACTCTTACCATTTTTGCTTCTTGAATGGTACAAAGGCAAACTCTATGGTGTTGTATCTCGCATGCCTTATTGAATTGATATGAGTTGCACATGAAAAATCAAAATAAAGCTTTCAAATATGTTATTTTTACTTTCATGTTGATCCTGCCCCATTACCTACTTAGTAACCAAAGAATATCTCAAAATAAACCTTGAATAAATACTTCTGTATCTGCTGGAATCTCATCTTTCTCACCTATGAACAACTGTGCTCGGATGTCAGGAGAGGAAAGAGTGAAGCCTTAGCTTGTTAAGAGAATGCATTTGCATGACATGCTGGCTTTCTGTAGAGCAGAATTTTGTTGGTGTTCTGGCTAAGTTCCAGGATAGCACAGATCTAAAATGAGAGATTTTCTCTCTGCAGCAAATGGTATCCTGTCCTGCTACTATGTTTGTTTATTTTAGATTAATACCATGATGCCCTAATGGGAATGAGCGCAGACTTGTATTTAGAAAGCCTGAGAAAGCTTCAAGTCTTGTACCATATATAATCATTTACAAATCACTTATTGTTCAAACTAAATTGCATTTTTTTATATGCTTTTGCTTTCAATGATGATTTGTTCGAGAGTATCATAATATCTAAGTAAAAAGATCTGCGTTCAGTTTTATTTTTATATTTTCAATGCATAACCTTTAATTTAATATCCAATTCCTTTGTTTAATATCTCATTCCCTTTTTTTACACCTAGCTAATAATTTTGAATAGGCTACTTTTAATAGTAACTGTGAATTGTGTGGTATTAGAAAGCGCTGTAATTAAATATAAGGGTGAGGAAAGTGTGAAATGTCTGCTTATAAAGGCTTTATAAATTCTTCCTCGGCCACGTTACATTTATGTACTTCCTGATTTGTTAGCTGTGGTAATGACCCACTACAAAATACCAACAAGATGCCCATAGAGTCAGTGTTTATATTCACATAAAGATAACAGTGTGTATTTTCCTAAACATTGACTGCGAGGGAGTCTTTGTGAATCTGCTATTTCTGCTCTTCAGGTGTTAAAACTTACTTCATGACGCCTGAATCTATAATATCACAAATAAAAACCTTCAGCACTCATGCATAAACATGTGCTTACACGCACACACGTGTGTCATACAAGATGTCTGCTCTTATTTTGAGAACTTTTATGTCTTCCCCTAATGACTGGATATGGAAGCTGTGGTAGCAAAATGCAGATCTAAGCTAAAAAGGAAATTTCCTTGCAACTTAACAAGTATGGGGAACTTGTTACTGCAAATAGACTTATAAATAAACTTTAGTGAAAAATATTAGTGCACATACTTACTAATGTCTTCAGAATGCAATTAAATTCAAACAAAATTTGAGAAGTACTTAAACTTTGTGAAGCTTCAGCAGGTTGCCCCAGGGGGTTGTGGATGCCCCATCCCTGCAGGCGTTTAAGGCCAGGCTGGATGTGACTCTGGGCAGCCTGGTCTGTGGTTGGCAGCCCTGCACATAGCAGGGGGTTGAAACCAGATGATCGTTGTGGTCCAGGCCATTCTAGGATTCTTTAGAGAAAATTTGCAAATATTTTATGAAGTGTTGATCTTTGTGTGCTTAGAGCTACTGCTAGAAGAAAAAGATATATCCATATAGATATTTAAGTATTATGGATGGATTCTTTAGGGCCTGTTTCTTACTTAACTGTTTATGTTCCCCAATGCCAGCAAGAAGACAAACTGATTATGCTTTCCACATGCATGTTTCCAGCTAGTATCAATGGGAACTCTGTGGATATTTGATGGAAAACAAGCTGTTCCTTTGCTGTTGATGGGCACTGTAATTTGCAGAATTTAATAAATTTTTAATTCCCAACAGCCAAATGAGCTTTTTTTGATGCAGTTCTGCATGTGTAGCAAACCGGGTACAATTTCTGTAAAATAGTGTTAATACTGAGCCACTCTTTTATTTATTTATTTATTTTTTTCCCCTCTCCCAAGCAGATTGAAGATCTGTTCATCTGTCTACCCTGCGGTCTGTGTGACTTAATCATTCCATTGCAGGGAAGGGGAGAGGTGTAGGGCCAATTGACCCAAAGGGGCAGTAATAGGAAGAGAATACAGTGACAGTTGTTTCTGCTGACAGTTCCTTCTATAAAGAGTGTGGGATTCTAGCAAATAGGTTCCTTAAGCTGTTCTCATTTCAGGGAGCCATTGAAGGGCTTAGTACTGAATATACATAGACTCATAGACCCAAGGCTCATCTCACAATTTGCTGCATTGGACTTATCTGGCTATAGTTAAAATGGCTTTAAAGTACAGTACTATTTCTACAAGAAATCAGTTATTAAATCTTATTTGAGTTAAATCTACTTTTTTTTTTTTTTTTTTTCTACATTGATAATGAAATATTTGTGGGTTTTGGGGTTTCTTTTTGTGAGTTTTTGACTTATGTATTTTTTAAAAAGTGAATTTCTTTCCCACGTGCAGGAATAGGAGTTAAATTTGAGAGTTTCAACTTAACTTATCCCTTCATTTTTTTTGTTGGGAAAGCAATACCAATGAGCAATACCAATGAATGTAAAACTGTATGCCTGTTAAGCTTATTATATTTCAGATGAACAAATGTGGGCTGTGTTGGGGTTATACACAAACTGTAGTACTCTGCTGCTAAGGGGTTGCATTTTTAGTTTCTAATGACTTAAATTTCTGTGCTGACTTACCCATTCATTTTGGGATGCCATTGGTGGTACAAAAGGACTCAGTCACCTCAAAAAAAAAAAAAAAAAAAAAAAAAATGCTGATGGGTTGGAAGGCTGCAACCTTATATGGCAGTCTTTCTGGATAGGAGAATACATAGGGATGTCTTTGCAGGCTGTATGCGCCTACTGTGTCCTCTTTCAAGTCATTATTTGTCCTTCTCCTCATCTTCTACTATGTCTTAAGAACCTTGCTGTCTTAAAAATAAATGTTTGTGAAATATGTCTGATTTTCTTCAGATGTTTCATGTTTCAGACTTAGAGCTCTTGAAAGTAGTGGAGATTGGAGGGGGAAAAATGTATTTCTAGCCACCTCTGTGTTTTATATTTGTTTTATCCTCTTTACATTTATTTGTGCAAGGAATCATTTAGTATTTCTAGACTTAGAATTCAGATACAAGCACTACCTATGTTAAACATGCTTTTAGCTTTTCAGAAACCCTCATGTATGTGACTTTTAAAAAAAAAAATAAAATAAAAATCCTTGCACAAGCAAACACCACTTGAGAACAGCAACTTGTCCAAAAACTTTGATTACTGGCAGTTGTCCATAATTAATTCTGACCTACAGTAAATTGTGTTAGAACAAATCAAGTATTTTGGATGTATCTTTGCTATTTATCACCTGATATGTTGGTAGAGTGACCTGCTGGCTTTGATAGGTGCATGCTATTGCTTCTTGTGGCATGAGTGTGTGACACAGTTGTAGATGCTCTCTGACCTTACCTCCTCCTTTTCAGGGTGTTTATTTTCCATCTTTTTTCTTGTTTTCTTTTTCTATTTTTCTTATATTTCTTTTTCTTTGGTGCCTGACTTCAAGCATTTCTGCTGGTTACTCCTGATGTTTTCTGTTCTCCCTTTCTCTTTTTTGGCACATTCAGAGAAAATGCTGTGTGTTGCCTAGGGCATATGTCTGTGGGAGAAACACAGGAGCAATACTTGAAACTGAATTTGTATGTGGCTGTACAAGGAACAGTGCTCTAGGAGTCTGCATCTGCTTTTTTTGTTAGCAGTGGTAGGTCTAGGGGTATAAATACCATTAGAAGCCATGTTTCTCATTCTGGGGGGCATTTTGTGGTTTGGAAACTTTCTCTGTTGCAAGCAGGGGAGAGAAAAAAATAAAGGCTGCATACAAAATAAATTCTTCTGCAAAATTGAGCATTGATAAAAAAAAATTGTTAGACACAGTATTTTGTTCCCATACATCAAATTTATTTGTGATTCCAGATTTTTTTTCTTTTATATGTACATAAATTCATTATTTTTATATATAAACCACACAAAGCAGTCAACCATTCTTTACTTGAGTGGCTACTGAATGTAACTGTTAAATAAAATGAGTTGTTTCACCAAATCCTTTCTTTCATTTCTATTTCAACAAATTTTCATCACTAGTCATAATTTTGAATTGGGAATAATTGTTTCAGTGTCCAAACTACACGTCCCAGTAGTATGTACACACACCTCAGCCCTGAACCTGAGGAGTGGTGAGAATCAGTCTGGTTGAGTAGCTGTGTGTAAATACAGAGAGATACCCTGGAAAAGACCTTTGTGTATCTTTGATAGAAATGCCCAAAGGACCAGAAATGGTAACAGTGGTGGATTTTAATTTCTCTGGTAGCTGAAAAAAGCAGTGTTAGGGCACACTTTCTTGCTATGGACGTTGTTATCCTTACACGTGTAAAATGTTAAGGTTCAGATTTTGTTTAGGCTAAGGAAGAATGGATTAGGAATATCAAGTCAGAAAATAATTATTGTGGATCTGATTGTAAGATGGTAGCATGCGCTTAAGAAGAGGAAGATGTGAGAATAGTATTAATGGAGTTCAATGAAGAGATTCTATAACTTCAGAAGTTTAGGGAGCTAGTAAAGCTATTAAAAAGATAGAACAAGGAAAATAGTATGGCAAAAGCACTGTGTAGTTCTGTGAGGACATAAGATACTGTAGTTCAATGGGGATATTTTTACAGATCTTGAAATCAAAGGGAGGGATTCCACTAAAAAGAAGAGGGGAAAAAATGATGGGTAACTAGGGAGGAATGCAAAGGCATAACAGAAAAATGATTTGCTGAGGTGTGAACTGACTCATAAGAAGTGATACGAAAAGGTTGGATGTAGTATAAGGTAAAGTGTTAGGTGACTTCTAAGGAGAAGGCAAGTGAGTTTCTAG